CGAGTCCCAGCTGCTTCACTTCTGATCCAGCTCCCTGCTAATGCACCCAGGGTAGCAGTGGACGATGGGCCAAGTGATTGGGCCCCTGCACCTACGTGGGAGACCTGGAAGAAGCTCCAGGCTCCTGGCTTGGCTCTGGCCCAGCTCTGGCTTTTGTGGTCATTTGGGGGGTAAACCAGTGGATGGAAGACTCCTCTCTGTCTCTCTCTCTGTAATAAATAAATAAATAAATATTTTTTTTAAAAAAAGGGCAAGGGGCAGCCCTTAGACCCCCCAGCTCCACCTGCACCCCTACCCAAAGGCCAAGGTATGGGGTCGGGGTGGAACCTGAGGCTGCTCCTCCCACGGCCATGGGCAGGTGCAGAGGGGCAGAGACTACCAGTACTGGCCTGACCACACCAGGGAGGTACCTGGGACAGGAGGGGGTTCCTGTCAAGCCCCCAGTTGGGGGCTGGGGCAGCCAAAGAATGACTGAGGGTTTGCCCGGCTGTTCCCCCTCAGCCTCAGTGCTGTCCCATCCCGCGTAGCGGCTGGGTGGGGCTGGGAGAGGAGGGAGGAGGGCAGCGAGGGGGACTGCCCAGCTGGAAGAGGCCTTGTCTAATTGTGCCTGATTAGTAGAGAGGAAGAGAACAGGGCGAGTGATTAATAGTCACGGCAGTCACCAGCGAGTGGGGAAGGAGGGGAGGGAGGGGGGAGGGAAGCCTGGGAGCCGAGAGGGAATGGAAACAGTGAGGCACCCAGGGGGCCCTGGGCTCCTGCCCCTCTAGGGGTGGCCTGGACCCAGGAAGACCACCCCCGCATCCTCAGGGATTCTCCACCGACCCCGGACTCAGTCTTTCAGACAGTGGGGTGGAAGAGACCAAAGTCGTGTCCTGCAATTGCCTTTGCTCACACAGTGTCGGTGGACACCCTGCAGCCCCCAGCTCCTGGACACAGGCCCTGCCCGCAGCTCAGCCTGGGACCTTAGCCCAGGGAGCAGATGGGCTGGCTGCCAATCACAGCCCAAATCCACCCCCTTTCAGCCCTGCTCTACCCCAGCCCTCAGAATTCCATTCCCAGCACCACAGCTGAGATGGCAGCCACTAGGCACATGCAGCTCTCTGAATTAAAAACTCATTTTCTCTGTCATACTAATCACATTTCAACAGCCACGTGTGGTTAGGGATTGCCATGCTGGACAGTGCCGACCCCGGGTTTCCAGCATCACAGGCCGCGCACTGGCCCTGGTCTAGAGGGTGTGTGCACACTCCTGCACGTGGTGCACACACCTCTGGCAGGCTCGGACACAGGGGGAACGCTGTCACCAAGAGAGGAGAGCGTGGGGGTCACGGGGTGGGGGGGAGACAAGGTGAAGGAGGGTAGCCACGGGGCCAGTGCATGGGTCAGAAACTGGTAGATGGAGCTGGGGACAGAGAGGTTAAGACAGCCAGGAGCTGGGAGAGTAGCAGAACGGCTGACACTTCCAGGGTGCCGGGTGCTAAGCTCTTTGCCTAATCTTCACAACAACCCCAAATGTTTAGGTTCTAACTCCCATCTGAGGAATATAGACAGAGGTTCATGGAAGCTTTTTTGGCTTCCCTAGGGCCTCACAGCTGCAAGGGTGGGGCCAAAGTTCAAATCCAGAAGCTGTGGCAGCTCCAGACCTCATGCACCTGACCCTTGTAGGATCCTGCCCCAGCAGGAAGGAACTGCTACACTTGAGGTCACCCTCGCATTTTGCAGCTTAAGAAAGGAAACCTAGGGAGAAACAGGGATTTCTGCCCTCTAGTGAGAGGGCAGCTGAGGGGGGAGTGGAACACACAGGTTGGGGCGGGGAGGGCAGTGCCAGACGGAAGGAAGGGGATGCCATCTAAATAAAGGGCCAGCTAAGGACACAGAGAGGGGTAGCCAAAGTCGGAGGCGTCAGTGGGAGTGGGTTGGGATGAGTCTGAGTGTGAAAGGGAAGGAGAAGAGTTGGGGGGCCTAGCTGGAGGGGAGCAGAGGGAGAGTGCCCCAGCACCCTCTCCTCTCTCTCCACCTGCCACACCTCCTCTCCAAACTATGCCCTGCCTGTCTCATCCCTTAAGCTTCCCTAGCCCTCACTGGCCCAGAATGGCCTCTCCATGTGAACTCAGGCCTTTACTACCCGTGCACCTCATCTGGCAATTAATCCCAGCCCCTTCCGACACTGCTTGCACGGCTGATTACCTCCTGCATGGTTGCTTGCGCTCTGAGTGTCCCTGCTGCCTGCTCCACTGTGAGAGAGACTGCAGGCCGCTTGAGGACAGGGCCTGGGGACTGGAGTGGCTCTTCTCTGCTGCCCGCCCCCGCAACGCACACACAGCTCCCCGTAGGAAGCTCAGTGCACAGTAGCTAGGCAGAAGGGGGTGAGGATGGACTGGCTGACCCACTGGGAGTAGACGAGGGGCTATTTGGGAGCGTGGGGTGAGAGCAATGGCAGTGGTAACAGAAGCGGGAGCAGCAGCTTAGGGGACTGGGGGAGGGTGCATTACCCGGAGTAAAAATAGGCTGGAAAATGTGACATTTATTAACTTGGATTCCGGAGGAAAGGTCACAGCAGAGTGGGGAGTGGGAAGGAGGAAACAGGAAAGCAACAGAAAACACACAGCAGCCCCTGCCCGAAGCCTGTCGCTGTCGCTGTTGCTTTCGCTGTCGCGACCACCCACAGCCTGGCTGCTTCTCCACCTACAGGCGCATGCACCCATCAGGGGCTCATGGCGTCACTGTCAGCCCATCGTGGACCTTGTGTCCTCAGCAGACCCCAGACCCCTACTCCACTCTCGTCCCAGTAGCACCCGGGCGCTCTTGTCTTCCCCACAGCACGCACCGTGGGCTCCCACCCATCGCAGTCCTTAATTCAGCCCCCTAGAAAGCCTCAGGGGAGAATCTCAGCCAGCAGATGCGGCCGGAAGGTAGGAGGGCTGGCGCTGGCAGGTGCAGGGACCCAAACGGGCCTCTGCCTTGCCCTCCTCCCCTCGTGGTCCTGCCGCAGCCCCCGAGCTGAGACCCACAAACTCCCTCCATCCTCCCCTCTCCCATGCTGCGGAAGAGCCCACGGGAATCCACTCTCACCCCTCCTGGCCATGGCCAGAATCCCAAGGGACTCACCATCCTCATCAGGGGACTCCCTGTCCCCGTGTTCTCCGCCACCTCCTCCTTTTCCCAGAGGCTGGGGCAGGCAGGAATCCTCTGCCTCCTTCCCCCACTTCCTCAGCCCCCTCCACCCCTCTTCCTCCCCTGCCCTCCCACTGACATTTCATTCCCCTTCCCTGCCCGCACCCCCCCATCTCACCCCCCACTACCACCCAGGGCTGAGACACAAACTCTGGCTCAGAGACACAAAGACCCCATTGATTTCTGCCCCAACAGCACCTGCTGAGACTGGGCTCAGAGGAGACCATGAATCCTAAAGGCCACACACACTCCACACCCCGCCACCTCCCTGGCAGCTCTCCCAGCCCTGGTTTTGGGGGAGCAGTGATTTTCCCTGGAAGAGGGGCTGTGCGGCTGAGCAACAGCGATGTCCCCGACTCTTCTCCCAGTCCCATCCTCTCCCCGCTGTCCCCTGTTTCTACCTCTCACCCCACTGCAGGCGTGGTGGGGGCCGGGAACCTGGTGGGAGCTCATTTCCCGGTGATACGGAGGCAGCAAGTGAGTGAGAACCTGGAGGGCCGGCTACTGCACTATGCACAAGGAAAGTCCACGTTGCTGCTGGAGGCTGGGCAGCGGTGGGCACCATGTTGCTGCCACACATTTGCATGTGCACCCGGGTAGTGGTGGCCAGGATGGAAACACAGACATGCATCCACCATGCTGGGTGTCAGGGACAGGTGCATAATGGCCTGGGACCCTGGGACCCTGGGTGAGCAGAGCCCTGACAGACACACGGTGTGCAAGACACACCCCCCCACACACACAGGCACACACATGCTGGAGGTGGGGCGGAGGGGGATGCAGCCGGGAGCAGCTCAAGCTGACTCCACTCCAGGTGAGGGTGCATGTGTTTGTATCCACACCCACGTGAGAGATGGCACCAGCTGCCCCTGTGTGGCGAGCCAGGGTTGGGATCGATGGGGGAGGGGATCGGATGTCAGGAGACGGATGGCATCCACAACATGGCCCTATGCCTAGCAGCTAAGTGAGAGCGTGATACAAAGATGAGTAGCTCTCTGGGTGTGTGAGGGTGTGGGTGTGCAGGTGTGCACGTGGATGTAGTGATAGGGACAGTGAGTGTGTGTGAGAGGCAGTGTGCGGGAACCCATGTCCCTGAGCAGTGGGAGCACGTGTGTGTGCGTGTGTGTGTGTACCAGCAGTGAGAGTGAGTTATGCCCATCAGAATGAACGAGTGATTCCCAGCGTAAGAGCCAGAGCTGGGCAAAGGAGCAGCAAGAACAGGAGATGGAGGGGGCCCTGGCCAGCAGGAGGCCGGAGGGGCAGCATGAAAGAAAGATGTGTGTGGATGCCTGGGAGGGGGGTGAGGGACCCAGAGACGCAGAAGGGACACTGGCTCCCAGTGTACACAGAGACCGACTCCCTCCAGCGTGCCTGCAGGGCCAGCTCCTCAGGAGGCAGCCCTCAGCCGGGCTGTCGCTGGAACCTCCCAGACACTCCCTCCCCATCACCTCCATCCGGTAGCCCCAGAAGAAAAAGGGGGCAAGAGCCAAGTAGGGGTGGGTCAGTGCATCCGGCCTTGGGATGGTGCATCCCTTCCCTGCAGGCTGACCCCCAGGGGACGCCCCCTGCCCCCAGCCCTGCCGCAGCAACAGGACCAAGAAGAGGATGGACGGTAGCATCAGGGTAAGTCCCCAGGAGCAGCCACTGCTCCACCGCAGGGAGGCTGGAGGGAAACCCTTGGCGTGGGGAGACACGAGGCCAGCCTCTGGTGGCAGAAGGAAGGGAAGCCCTGTTAAGGATGCCTGCCACACACACACACACACACACACACACACCCGCCAGCCTCTGGCCACCCCAGGCCAGGCAGCCCCGTTGGCGGCACTCACCACGGAGAAGTTGCTGGCGGAGCAGCGGTGCCCGCTGAAGTTGCAGCTCTTGAGCATGTCGGCAAGCTGGTGGCCAGTGCGGTTGAGGATGTCTACCATGTCCGGCTCCGGATAGCGCAGCCCGGCAGCGCGGTGCCCATCCCGGTCTTTGGGGGGCAGCCCTGTCAGGTTGGCCAGGTGAAAGATGTCGGCATCGCTGAGTGCCGAATGCCGGAAGCGGTTGATGTTGCAGAGGGTGACAGCCGGGAAGCCCGCCACCGGGGCTGGGGCAGCAGGCTCCACTGCCACCAGGTGAGGCCGGGTCAGGTAGCCCCGGGCCAGGCCGGCCGCCTGGTACAGGAAGGCAGCCAGCGAGGTGAGTAGGGCCAGTGCCCACAGGGCTCTGCGTAGTCCGTGGGGGCCTGGACCACAGGCCCGGCCCAGCCCGTGCAGGGTGCTGGTGCTGGCAAAGGTGGCCAGGTCCCGGGGGGCTGCTGCCCCCCGAGCAGCCCCCAGGAGGCTCTGCTCATCCCCTGCCTCTTTCTCCTTGGGTTTCGCATCCTCCTCAGCAAATTTGATTTTGCACACAATCTCGATCGGCATCTGTCCCCCGCTGCTGGGACTGGCCAGAGCTTCCCTGTCCCTCTCGCTCCCTGGCCGGCAGCCCCGGTGCCCTCCGGAGTGGCGGCGGTGGCAGCGGCTGCTCTTCTAAACTCAGGGCAAGCGGGGAGGAGGACAGGGACAGGGTGGGGGCCCGAGGTGGGGGAGTCACTCCCACTCCCAGCAGCTCCGCAGCCCTGGTGCTGCCTCTGCCGCTGCTGCCTCTGCTGCCGCTTGTCTCTCTCCTCGATCGTCTCCTTGTGGCTTCCCTTATCAGCACCAGCACAGCTGTCAGCCCCTGCGTGTGTCCCTGCGAGCGAGCGAGTGAGCGAGGGAGCGAGCGCTGCTCCGCCACGCCGCGCAGCCCCAGCCGCTCGGCTCAGCATGTGCTCCGGAGCCCACCCCGTGCTTAATAATTCAGGACATGTCAACAGCGTTTCACCGGCGGCACGGGCGGCAGGAGCCAGGCCAGGAGCGGGGGTGGCCCCCATCCCAGGACAAGGATTCTGGGACTGGGGCTGCCTCCCAAACTTGTCACACCCTAGCCATGCACGGGGGCCCCACGCAGCTCCACTCCCAGGCCACCCAGGGCACAGCGCCCTACCGTGGGTGCTCAGCTCTCTCTGCTACCTTCCTGGATCACAGCCCGGAAAGGCTAGCCAACTCTGTCCCCCACGTCCTGGCCTCGCTGAATCCAGCCCCTCGGCCACCACCTGATCCCACTACCCCACTCACAGCAGCTTCCAGAAACTCCTTCAGAGAGAGCCACTTGTTTGAATGAGGGAGGGGAGGGGAGAAGTGGGCAGGCAAGAGAAATGAGGGGACGATCGGGACTCTACCAAGAATTCTGGCTTCCCGGAGCTTCGTCCTGGACTTCAGCACCCACCATACCCCCAGCCCACCGGGAGACTGGCTGCATGGTCTGTCACGCACGAGCCTGGGATGGAGTGCAGGGCAGGTCGGCTGACTAGCACATCTGTGGCCACTTTGCTTCCTCAAATTCCTTGTCGCACCTGGCTTGGGGGAGGGGCGCCAGGCGAACAGTCTGGGAGTCGTCATTGGTGGGGGGGAGTGGGTGTTGAATGTAGGGAGAGGAGGCACCTCACCCCCCTAGGGAGGTCTGGAGGGAGTAGGAAAGTTGTTGGGCTTCCGCAGGAGGGGAGCTGCCCTAAGGAACCTGGGGGTGGGGGTGGGGGCTGTTGTCTTGTTGAGAGGAAGCTGGGGTGAGGCTGTCATCACAGGCAGGAGTGGGGATGCATGGGTGCCCCCCCGGGGGGTAGAGAGATCAAGAACGAGCCACACGTGCTCTGGGGGGCCTTGTGAGAGCATGAGCCCTCGCTGGGGAGCAAGCACTTGCCCCCCAAAGCAAAGAGTGGGGGGCTGATTAATCGGGGCGCTAATGAGCAGCAGAGAGAGGAAGCTTGGAGGGGCGGGGGAGGTGGCTCCATCGATCCGAGCCGAGGAACCAGCAGCTGAAAAAAAAGTGAGAAGGGAATCGATCCGAGGGAAACGGCAGCTGCCGGGGATTACAGCCCGAGGTCCACCCGCGGCCCAGCGGCCAGCCCTCCCCTGCGCCGGGCCTGGCCCCGGGGGAGGGGCCGGGGTGGCTCCCTCCAGCTCAGGGAGCCACGATGCCCATCCTGGCTGCAAGGCCAGGTCAGGGCCCGTCAGGGTCTCTGCAGCATGGAGCGCCCCCTGCGCCCCCGCCAACACACAGGGCCCTGGCCGCTCATGGCACCCTGCCCAGCTCATCCCAAGCCTCTCAGTGAAGTGGCTTCCCCACAGGCCTCCAAGGAGTCTGGGTCAGCCGGCTCCCTGCGGTGGGAAGCTGAGACCCCTGGGGTCAAGGCTGCCTCTGCCTAGGACACAGCCTCCGAGAGCGAGAGCACATGGGCTGCCATTGGAAGCAGCTGCTGAGTTAACACCAGCGGGTCCAGGTGGCCACGCACAGGCAGACCCCTCCCATGCCTGTCCTCCTGGGGACTCGTCCAGGCATTCCCAGAGCTCCCCGCCACTGTTCCTCCCAACCTTCTCTCTCTTCCCCTTTCTCCCAATATTGATTTTTCTTTACTGGGTTTTTTTTTTTTTTCTTAAAAAAAAAAAGGTGATTTAATTGCTTTTTTAAGGTTACTTCAGTCTGGGGCTCTGCCAAGAAAGCGGAAGCTGCCCCCCAGGCTTTGCCCAGCGCACGTTACCGGCCTGGTGTCCACTCCTGTCCCTGGATCCCCCTGCCTCCCACTGTGATCTCGGGCCACTTCCTTCCCCCCCCCACAGCACACCCTCTCCTGCAGGAGGGCACCTGCCTCCACCCTCTAAGGAATGAGACTGGGCGGTAATGGGGGTGGGGGAGGGGTATGATGGGTGCTCCAGACCACCAAGGAGCGCACCAGCAGTTAGCTGCACACGCACCTCTTCCACTGCCCTACCGCCAGCTGTCTCCAGTTGTCTCCAAGTCCCTACCATCCAGGCTCCCAGACTTCCAGGAATCCCGTTAGGATCACTGGGAGCACCCTGCCCCCACCCTCCCAGCCCATCTCTTGGCCTTGGCCTTTCCCCAATCCTCTCCAGTGTCTTGCGGCCCCTCCCTGTCCCTGCACACCCCCTTTGCCTCTGGCCCTGGTCCCCTCTTCCCTCCCTCTCCCTGCTTCCCTGCCTGCCTCCCTCTCTGCCCGGCTGCAGTTGGGTGATAATCTCCCTCATTTAGCCTCCCGGCTGCTTCCCCGGCTCATTGCCCAGCTGGTCCCTGGGGCCCAGCCCAGCTTCTTCCCCACCCCCACCCTCAGCCCTGTGCCCAAGCTCCCCCAGCCCCTCCCGGCTTCCCCCACCCACTCCCCAGGGACCAGCTGCCCCTCACAGGGAAGCATCAGGGCCAAATATGGCCAGCCAGGACCTGAGCTGGGTGTGAGCACAGGGAGGCGGGCTGATAGGCACCCTAGGGCCCTGGTGCAGGCCAGGGAGGGGGGCAGGGGGCTGCTGCTGCAGGGTCAGGATGGGAAGCCTCGGCCAGGGTGCCTCTGCCCTCCAGCTGTCCCCATTCCCCAGATTTGTCTCCAGTCCAATTCTCCACCCGCAGAGGATGAAGCAGGTTCACTGCCAGTGAGAAAGGGAAGCGTGGATGGACTGAGAGGCTGAGATTAGCGTGACATTCTGCACAGCCTGACACGCGCCTGGGAGTGGGGGCACAGGGGTGAGTGGGTACCAGAGCGGGAAGGGTGGCTGTAGCTCAGGGCACCTGGTAGGAGGCACGGAGGTTTTATTTTGGCAAAATACCCCAAAAGGAGACCCAGAGACCTCCAGGGAATCCAACTTGGGGGGTGCCCCCAGACCCTCAAGCTGATTACAGCTGGCCCCACTTGTGACCCCCCCTCAACCTTCTATTCAGGGTTCTCTGGAGAGCCCCGTTGCCAGCCCCCAAGGCCAGCATGCTGGCACTGGCATGGACCAGGGCAGGAGCCAGGGTGGGACAGACGTGGGCGGGAAGGGACGAGGATGTGGGGGTGGGGGTGGGCCGGGGCTGGGCCAGGCCTGGCTGGTGAGCGAGCAGCAGTGACAAACGGGCTGTGCGGGGGCCGAGGGGCGGGGGGCGGACGGCGGCTGATTTATCTGGGTTATTTATGCCGCGGACGAAGCAGGAGAAGCGGTTAATGAGAGTCCCGGCGAAGGGGGGTGGGGCGGCCCGGACGTGATCAGAGGCGACTGAAGAGGGTTAGCATCCCACCGCCAGGCCCTGCCCCCACTGTCCACCAGCACTTTTTTGTACCCCCCCATCCCGTCATCCTAGGGCAAGCCCAGCCCAGCACTCTTCCATCCCCTTTCCAGCACTCCCAAGCCAAGGCAATGGGTCGCCAACACCTAAGGGGACTAGTTCCAAGATCGGTGGCATCTGGAGGCACTGAGGAGGGGACCAGGAAAGAGAGGGCAGGAAAAAGAAAGACGACACCTCCCGGCTGGCCAGAAACTGACCGGGCCTGCGGGGAGGGTTGAGATGGAAGAGGCCAGTGTGGGAGCAGGTGGGCAGCCCAAGAGCTCAGAGCTGAGGCTGGGCAGAGGGCACCAGGGTGCAGATCTGGTGCCAGCCAGGAGCCACGGCGGGGGAGTGGGTGGCAGAGACAGGCTGGGAGGGAGGGGGCTGGCCAGAGAGCAGAGAGCCAGGGAGGAGGGGGAGAAGATCCAGAGGAGGAGGGGGAGAAGGCTTTGCAGCAGTGAAAGCTGCTGGGAGCCGATAAGGCAGCAGAGCAGCAGGAGGGATTAAAGCTCTGAGGGCCATGGGGGGGGGCGGGGGAGGCGGGGGCCGGGGGGGGGGGCGGGAGGAGAGGGCTGAGGGCAAGCCACCAAGGCCAAGGAGACCAGTGGGGACAGTGAGAGCTGCGACAGGGGCAGGAGTTAACCAGGTGCCCCGAGGTGGCCATCGACTGGGAAAGGAGAAGGAACTCCTGATCCTGTTCTGCGGAGGCAGACTCCTCTGCCCCGACGGAGCCCCCATGCCCCGCGCAGGCCCGGCTGCAGGGCTAAGGGAGGGATGCACTGCAGAGCACAGGGCGCTGGATTATTGGGTAGGGGGAGTGGCCAGGACTGGCCCTGGGAGCCACAGAGCTGAGGGCTGCAGAGACTGAGGGCACACAGCGCCCCCTTGAGGTGGCCAACGGTACACGAGAGGGCCACAGGGAGCCAGAGTCAGACCCAGGCTGTGTGGCGAGGATGGGCCTTTTCAGAAGAGGGCTCTGTGGGAAGGGGTGTGGGCTCGGAAAGAGAGCAGGTGGCTTCCCCAGGCCACAAGCCCCTTACCACCCTTCCAGTGTCCAATCCTTCCAGAAGGGTGAGTGTGGGGCAGGTGGGGTCCCTACTCCCTCCAGATCTGAGCCCAGGACAGCTCAGAGGTGGCCCTGGTGCTGGAGGGAAACCTTAGGAAGGAAGAGAGGAGGGGCTGGGGGAGGGGAGCGGGGGTGGCGGGCGGGGCTGGGTAATTGCGTGTTTGCCAGTCTCGGTGCACAAGGGAGTGTGTGTTGGTGGGTGTCTCTTCACCTGAGAGCGCGTGTGTGTCTGTTGGCAGAGGTGTCAGTGTGTCTGTCTCAGGGGTCTGGGCTCCCCTTGCCCCCCACCCCCCTTTGTGTTTTGGGGGCGCAGCTCTAGGCCCACCCAGCTGTGCTCCGTGCTGATGCAGCAGATGTGGCAGGGCCCCAGCTGTGCCTGCTTCCCAGAGCGGGGGAGGGGGCTGCAATCTGCTCCCCCGATAATGGCTGCTAAGTGCCTGGGGGTGGGAAGGGAATCCAGACAGAGGTGGGATGGGCCCCTGGCAGCCCCACCAGGCGGCCAGGAGGGAGGTGAGGGCGCTGCCCCACTCCACCCGGCCCCATTCTGCCTCCCCCCCCCCCCCCCCGTTTGTGTTCTTCTTGGCTCAGCCTCTCCCCCTTGGCTGGCTCTCGAAGCCCATCCAAATTTCTCTCCACACTCAGGCCCTGTCCCCAGCTCTCCTCCCGTCGCCCCATCCAGCTTGGTGCCAGGGACCCACCCCCATCCCCGGCCCCCAGCTCGCTCCCCCTCGCTGATTTTACAGAATAATCTTTTTATGGAAACCGAAAAAAAGCACTAATGGCAGGAGCGCACCCCTCCCCCGCATTCCTCCCCCTGCGCATCCCCCACTTCCCACCCCGTTCCTGCTAGTTTCTCCCTTCTCACCCCTACCTGCGGCTGGCACCTTCCTCCCCTACAGGGCCAAGGAAGGTTGGGTGCAGCGATCCAGAGGTAGTGGACAGGGGGTCCTCCCTGCACCTTAGGCCCTGAGCTGACCCCTCAGAGATGGATGGGGCTTTGAGCCTCTCAGCACAGGAAAGAGCTGGAGAGCAGTGGGGGGCACCAGACCCTCTATCCTTAGACACCCCCGCCCAGAAGTGGCTCCCTCAGCCTGGGAGGGGGCTGCTACAAAGACCTCAGGTGCCCCCCCACTGAAACACTGACCCTTTCCCCTCTTGTGCCTCTCCCCATCATGTCCCCACCCCCACTGGGTCTAGGAGGGGGTCCCGGGGGCCAGGGCCTGACACAGACTTATTGGATTTCACGGTGTTTTGCTGAGAAAATAATTAAATTATCATATTTATGATGGAGCTGCCATGGCCTCTGCCAACCACTCGGAACAGAAGGGTCAGGACTGGAGGAGGAGAGGCGAGGGACCGGGACCCCGGCCCTGCGGTGCACCCACCCCCAGCCCCTTCCCGGAGGAGATGACCCCAGGCCCAGAGTGGGCATCTGTGGCCCCCTTCTGGCACGGAGCTGGCAGAAGGTCTGGGTTGAGGCAGGGATGGGGAACGGGAGAGGGGCTGAGCAAGTGGCAGGTCAGGGTCAGCACTGTTAAAATCCGGGTCACCTCCCACAGGCTCTCGCTCAGCCCACAGGGCCCCAGGGGCTGGGAGGTCACATCCAGCCCAGAGCCGTGTCCTGTCGTTGGCCTCAGCTCAGCCCTGGGAAAGCGCCTCTTCCTAACTGCCTGCCTGTGAAGTGATGATCTCTGGGGCCCGTCCCAGCAGCCTGGGTGCAGAGAACAAGGCCCGGGCCCCCTGCCGCCTGCCACCCCAGCCTGCTGCCAAGACCCCCTCCTCCCTCGCACCCACGCCCTGCTCCCCCCATTCTCTTTGGGTAATTAGATTCCTCTCAATTAGCAGATTACGATCATTACCAGCTCATCTGGCAACAGCTCGGCACCCACAGCTGGGGAAAGGGGGGACCAAGAGGGGCACACGAGGGTCACGGGCGACAGGAGAGGGCTGGGAGCTGCCACAGGGCAGCCACAGGGCGCCCCCCACCTCCCCCCAGCACACACAGTGCTTCCTGAGATTTCGTGGCTCAGGCCCACCCTGCCTGCCAGGGAAGTGGGAGAGGGAGAGAGACACACACATGAGGCCTCTGGCGGGGGCGAAACCCCCAGCCTGCTAACAGCCAGGCTGGGAGCAGATGGAGCTGGCAACGCAAGAACAGGCCAGGGCTGGGCAGGAACTGGGAGTGGCTGCGGGTGATCAGCCCCTGTGTCCCCACCCCCCCCCC